CCAGTTTGATGGATTTTTGAGGAAAACCTAGCGTAGCTCTATTGTATCCACAACCAGAGGGCAAAAATGCTTTTATCACGTATCACGTCAAATATGAATTGGATTCAACTATTTTCAAAATGTTATCTGTGTGAATTTCATCCCATTTATTTACATTATGTGTTATATTAGGTATGTTTATATTATTATCATTGTTTATTTAGCTATTAGAATTTCTTTAGATAATATACTTTCATCATGAATTTCACAATTTTATTTATACTAATTTTTATTTATAAGATTACTATTGTTTTTACAGTCATTATAATATCTTTTATGATTTCTTCATGTGATCGCAGTTTTATATTAATCTGCATCTATTATGCCTATGAATCTTTCAAGTATATTATCAAAATGTTTCAACATGATCTTCCTAACAATGACATTTTATTAATGTTTATGATTAACGCGTTCAAAATTTGTGAATTCCCTTTGTATTCTACATTCACCTGTGCTGCACCTATCATAACTTTATTTTGGACTTCATAATATTTTTAATGCCTGTTTTCTCAATCATTTATTCTTGTAGAATTAAAACATTTATTAAAAACTTAATTATAATGTAGTAAAAAAAAATTACCATTTGGCTAAAATTTTATTAAAAATATAGTTTTTCATAAGGAAGCAAATTATAACTCCTCTTTATTTATAGAAAATCTCAGTTATTGAAGATTCACAAATTGTATTATCTCCTCATCCAATCCCCAGTTCCAGTGAGGCGCTTACTTTGCATGAGGTATTTATTTTAAATAAAATTTATATAATAACTTTTGAAGGGAATAAATTATGAGGATATTCAAAGTCCAAGTCTTATTCAGCTATATAAAAAGAAGGAACAAAATGACCCATTTCACTTCATATTATTTAGGATGACAAATATTTTGATTAATTTCATAATTGCTGTAGGCCCATGTCAACCATGTACAAATAATTTTCAATATCCTGTTACTCACAAGAGGTTTTAAATAATATATATTTTCATTAATGTTTATCTATCCATTATTTCTATATCAGTATTAATTTTTTTACTTTTTAAACAGGAGCATGAATATAACCTATTATAGAAAGGTTAATATAGATGGTTCCCTCAACCCCAGAAATTGGCTATCTTATAGCACTACTTTAGACAGAGTCTTTGGAGTAAATAATTGGAAAAACATAAAACGTGACTTAGAAAGACATGAAGCATCTTCTCTTCATAAAGATTGTGAATATGCAAACATGACTTGGCTTGCAAATAAGCTCATTCAAGATCATTTACTATCAAACAAGCTTGATATAATCATGGAAAATCGTAATATAGTTCATAATATTATCGATGCCATTCTGTACCTTATAAAATGTAATATAGCCTTTTGGGGTTCTGTAATAAATTAATAAATGATTAATTATGTATATTGTATATTAAAAATAGAACCGAACATTCGAAAAACAATAAATAAATTGATATCAAAAATAAATTGAAATATAAATCAGTGGTCGTATTGTTTATAATTAGTAGTTGGGATTACTACAAATGGCGACGAGGATGGGATAAAATAATTCCTTAAATGGAGATAATAATTCTTTAAATGGAGAAAATAATTCCTTAAATGGAGATTCAAAAAAAATAGCGGATTTATCTACGATTAAATTTGATAAATTCGAGTTGGATACTTCTATTCACAGATATTTTTCTCAATGGGAAGCCAGTTTTCGGTTAAAAAACGTAAGCCCATCTGAATGTCAATATAAAGATATATTTTTAACATTTTTTGGCAATAAGAATATTGAGTTGGTGGACCGTTTTTGTTATCCTGATTCGATCGAAACTTTATCTTTTAAGGAAATTAAGTCAATATGTTTTAAACTATTTAAACCGACGTCAACAGCTTTTGCTTCTAGATTTGATTTCGTTAGATTACGGAGAACAACTGAAACCATAACTGAATTTGCAAATAAAATTAGAACAATTGGAAAGCGTTGTCATTATCTTAATGATATTGACGAGCGTTTACGTGATCAGTTTATGGTTGGCATGGAAATACCGGGATTGGAAAGAGATCTTAGAGCTCTATATCCCGACGGTCTTGATAGAGATAATAATGTACTGACTTTTCAATTTATTCTTGATCTGGCATTAGCTTCTGAGCGAGCAGATAAAGAAATGGCAAATAAAAATATGCCAGTTGTTAATAAGATAAATGTTAATAACAAAAGAAATGATAATGATAATAATTATAAACATCCAATAAAAACGACGACTACAATTGATAAAGGCTATAATAAAGTCAAGTATAATAATACATTTGATAAAGAGAATAATAACTACAATAATAATAATGATAAAGATTATAATAAACTTAAATGTTATAAATGTGGTTTTATTCATAACCGAGAAGTGAGATGTCCAGCTACAAATGCGGCATGTAATAAATGTAAAAAAATTGGTCATTTTGCAGTTTGCTGTAAATCAAAGAATTTAAACTATATAAGAGTGTCATCAAGTGATTCTATTCATAATATTTGGAAGATTCAACAAAATCGAGAGAATCGAGCAAAACTAACTGCAGAGATAAATGGGTTAGATGTTGAATTTGATTTTGACACTGGTGCACAAGCGTCATTGATAGGAATTAATATATGGACAAGTATTGGGCGACCAAAAATTAGGCCAACCAGTCCATTGACTGCATATGGTGATCATCCGTTAGACGTCAAGGGCGAGACCCAAGTCAATGTTAGGATTGGATCACAGACAAGGACTCTACCAGTGGTAATAATGAATACAACTGGGGTGCCTCTTTTCGGATTACCATGGATTATAGCATTCAATTTAGAAATGCCTCGTCAGGTTATGATTAAACAAGTACGCAATTTGGTCAACAATATTGAAAAAGAAAAATGTTGCATAACACTAGATTCTAGAATTCGAGATTTGATTAATAAACACCAAGAAATTTCGGAAGAGAATCAAGATTCTAAACATGCTTTGGATATTCGAAGTATTAATTTGGATGATATGCAATTGTCAGAAAATATTCTGCGAAAAGAGTCGAAGCAAGATTTAATATTAAAAAAAGTAGCAATACATATTCAGCAAAGTTGGCGAAACTTTGATCGTCATAAAGATAAAGAAATAGTTAATTTTTATAATCGACGGGAAGAGCTTTCTGTCAATCGTAATATTATAGAATGGAATGGGAGATTGGTTATTCCTAATAAATTAAGAAATGCAGTGTTAGGAATGATTCACTGGGGACATCCTGGGGAAAATGTAATGAAATCTATTTTTAGATTGTATTGTTGGTGGCCCAGATGTGATGTTGATATAGAAAATTTTATCAAAATATGTTCTGGATGCCAGAAAAATAGACCATGGTTAGAAGTTGATCTAATGCAAAATACCTCTGCTGATGCTATGATAAAACGACTAAAAAAATGGTTTGCTAGGTTTGGAATACCCAAGTACATTGTGTCAGACAATGGACCACAATTCTTATCTGGGGAATTTCGTAGGTATTGTGATTTAAATAACATACGTCATATACGTTCAGCACCCTATCATCCAAAAACTAATGGATTAGCTGAACGTACAGTACGAACTTTGAAAGGTCGGTATTATGCAACGAGAGATTCAATTAGCGATCCCGAAGAAGCTATGACACAGGTTTTAACAACCTACCGATTGGGAGAGCATAGTTCCACAGGGAGATCTCCTGCTAAAATTATGTTTGGGAGACAATTGAAAACAAGTTTGGATTGGATCCGACCAAATGCCGAACACGAAATAGTAAGAGCTAATGATAAACAAAGCCTTCATCATGATTTACATTCAAAGGAAAGAGAATTTGAAATCTCACAACCTATATGGTTAAATAATGAAAATACCAATGGTTGGAGAGAGGGAGTAATTAAAGAAAGAATAGGACTTTATTCTTATATTGTTGAATCTTCCGGGAAAACATTACGGAAGCATGCAGATCAGTTAAGAAATCGTTTAGTTATCCCAAATCATGAAAGTTCTTTGGAAGTTACAGAAATGGTTGTGCCAGTGAATGAAGCAAATACAAACACAAATACAAATACCACATTACGTTGCTCATCAAGAAACCGTAAACCTACAAAGAGGTTTATTGAAGAAATCTAACTTTAAATTGTTTGAAGGAAATGTAATAAATTAATAAATGATTAATTATGTATATTGTATATTAAAAATAGAATCGAACATTCGAAAAACAATAAATAAAATTTGATATCAAAAATAAATTGAAATATAAATCAGTGGTCGTATTGTTTATAATTAGTAGTTGGGATTACTACAGGTTCTAATTCAGATGAAGGTAATTTTATGTGCCTCATAAAATTAATGGCAAAAACGGTTTCAACTTTACGTGCCTACATGGATAACAACGAAAAATTGCGGAGAAAAAAATCAGATAAAATTTCGAGATCTTATATAAATTTGCTGTCATATGGGCACGTGAAAAAAATATCTGAAATTATTAAGATAATAATAACAAAGCATTATTCAAAAAATTAAAGAGAATCGTGCCTATAGCATCATATTAAATGAAACATATGATGTGTCTAAAAAAGAATGCATAGCTTTGCTTGTACGGTTTATAGAAGATGATCTGCATCCACATCCTGTAGTAAGCATCATACATGTTTTTACAACATCAGAAACCAGTGGGGAAAATATAAAGAAACATGTTTTTTGTAAGTAATCTTGGTCTTCTTCTTGATTATTTGGTTGGACAAAGTATGGATGGTGCAGGGAATATAGGAGTATACAAAGGAATGCAGGCTTTAATATTGAAAGAGGCTCCAAAAGCCATCTATATTTGGTGCCATGCACATAGGCTAAATTTAGTAGTTGCTCAGGTTTGTGGATGCAAAATTGAAATGAAAAAGGCAATGGGAATATTAGATGAGTTATATAATTTTATGAATGGAGTTAGACGGCAAGGTGTGTTTGTTAAATATCAAATGAGAAAGTCCAAGAAATCTCTTAAAAGAATTAAAAACACAACAAGGTAAATAAAATATTTTTAATGAAACTTGAAACTTATATATTTTCAGAAATTGGTCATCATCCTACAAATCTGTAGAAATCTTTTTAGATGTTTATGAACATATTTTAGCATCATTAGTTGAATTAAAAGATTCTAATGACCCAAGCACCTCTTCCATTGCCGATGGGTTATTATCAAGAATTAAAGATGAAAATTTTACATTAAGTCTATTTATTTTGAAAGAAATATTGAAATGTACACATGAGGCTTGTATTGAAATGCAGGCAGTTGGTAATGATTTGGCTTTGGTAACCAAATTAATACAACATACAAAAAATAAATTACAAAAACTAAAAGGTTAATATTAGTTACTATTTCTATAAATAATTTTAAAATATAACTAATGGAGACAATATATTTTTAAAATTACATTCCTTATCTAATAGTTTTTTGAAAAAGAATAATGTAGTAACTGATTTTTATAATATGAAATCAATATTCAAATTGGATCAAACAGAATTCAATATGTTGAACAAAAAAAAACAAGTTGAATAAATTAAAAAAATTTAAATTATTATTTATTATTATAGATATAGAACGGAAATATTTTTCCCTGTTCTAAATGCAATAATTAATCACCTAAATGATCGATTTAATTATGATTGTTTAAATTTTTTATCACAGATATCCATTTTTACTCCCGCTGGAATTATGGATAATGAAAAAATAGAAGGATGGCAAATATCCGAAATTTGTAATACTTATGAATTGGATGTCCAAAACATTGTTGATGAATATAATGATTTTCGCTCTTATATTTGGAGTCTCAATCAATCATTTTTTGCGAAGATCTTTTGAAAGTTAAAAAGAATGACGCGTTATATATCGATGAAAGTAATTTATTGATATTTTATTTGTAATTGTATATAAATAAAGGTATTGCAAACGATCAAACTACCGAAGAAAATATCAACAGCAAAATAAAAAAATGGATAAAATATTTTTTTATATTACCATACCGACTTTTAAATCAATTAAATTCTTATTCTAATTTAAATTTATTATATAAATATTTATTATCCTACAACTTCCTGTTCAGCCGAAAGAGCCATTATTAAAGTAAAAATAAACAAAACTCGAATGCGGAATAAAATTTCGGACCCATTTTTAAAAAATTTACTGTTAATATCCAGCGAAATTGATGTTTTTGAAAAATTTACAATTTATTGATGATATTATAACTTAATTTGCATTAACATCTATAAGGTTATCCAAGTTATTAATAAAATAAGTAATGTATCCTTTTCACACCGAATATATACGATTTTAAAAAATGTAAATTTAATTTAAAATTTCAATGCAAAATATACTATAATTCATTTTATTCTAATATTTTAACTATTTACAATACATGTTTTTAATTAATTAAAAGGTAATATAGGTATGTGAAATCAAGCTAAATATACCTATTTAAAATTACTCGTCTTATATTTTACAATATTTTAGATCTTTTTTATAGAAATATTAATATGTTATCTCATTTAATTCACTTATATATATTTTATGAAAATAAAGTGAATATCAACCAAATTATGAAAAGATTGCATTATTTAAATATACGTTGATTATCACCTACAAATTTTTTTTCCATAAATAGGCTTGAAAGATTGTAAATAGAATTATGTTGTAAGGTTATAAATGGTGGCTTATTATAAGATTTTTTAAATTAAATCACTATAACATCGTAGGTCTGTAAATAACGCGGCCGAAGGCCGCGGGATTTTTTTTAAGGTGGGTATGGGTAGATTTTGGAGGGGGTTAGCCTCCATCAAATTTTCTGCCATGTAGACGCTGGATGGTTATATTTATCAATTGATTTTATTACATAATTAAATCCATTTTCAAAGTAGGTGTTCAAAAAAATTGAAACCTCCATAAGTACATAAAAATGGAAAATTATTTATTAAATACCAGCCAAATTATTATAAAACTGCCTATTTATTTTAACCCTTTAAGTTCCCTGATAAAATTCATATGATGCAATACGATATTTAGTAAAAATTATTATTGATTCATGTATAGTATAATATAAAACCCACAAAAAAATTTATTTTAATTTAAAATGGCGGCTCTCTCTGGTGGTTTCAAATTCATATCATAGACACCTTATGAAAACTTTCGAAACGGTTTCTATTATTATTTAGACATAGTGGTATGTTTCATGATTTGCACGACCACCTTGTTCTTCTGGGATTTAACTTTGTACTACAGTGGGTACATCTTCTGGAGGTTCTGCCTTAGGTTTATGAGCTGAGTTTTTTAGTCTAATTTTTGGAAGGATATGAGGCTTAATATTTTTTCTTTGCATTGATATATAATTATTATCATTCTGAATACCCTATCAACATTTTTGCAGTGTGCCAATTCGCTAGCAATTATGTCTTCGGAATTCTTTCAATGAGAGTTTATTATCTAAAAGAATATTGTAGATTATGAATGAACTGATAATAGCCACATCTATCAGAAGAATATTGGCAACCACCATTTTCGCCACCTTCGCGAGATTTCATATAAAAACTTTAAATGGTCGAAATGGTCAACAGACCCCATAAATTTATTATATATCTTTATCATCATTGGACATTTTACGTCAAATACTTCCCCTTTTTTATTTTTCCTCTTCTCAGTATCCACTGATCTCGGATCAATATAATTGGACATTATAAATACATCCCGATTATCTCGCCATTTAATTATACTTATCGTATTTTTGTCACTTCTCCAGTCAAACTCACCTCTTGTTAATTTTGTTTCCATATTCTTTATAGGCAAATATCTCCTAATTTTGTTTAATGTTCCAGTAGCATATATACCTTTCTTTTTTAAATCGGATAATAGAGTATAACTCGTAAAATAATTATCAAAAATATTTTATGATTTTGAAGTCCTTCGCAAAACTTTGTTACAATATTATAACCTAGATTTCTTTCAACCTCTTTATTTTCCCCAGCATAGATATTAAAATCATTCATATATCCTGAATTATCACACCTCATCCATACATAAAAATATAGTTATTTGGAATAAATAATGACAAAATTCACACATTATACCTTGAAACCGCCATTAGTAGGTTTCTTAGGCATATATTGCCTAAATCCTATACGGCCTTTGAACCTAATCATTCCTTCATCAATTGCTTGATATTCCGAGTGAAGAAAATATTTCAAGCAAGATGAACGGATATCAATGAATGGTCTTATTTTATATAATTTATCATAATTTTCATCATTTCTCAATGGTTCTAAAATATTGTCATTTATATGGATGTGGCTCATAAGCCAAATAAAACGTTTAACTTTCATTATGGATGAAACGAAATTGTCATGGAATTCTGGTTTAGAACTCCAATAATTCTTTGTAATTTGCCATATTTTTAATTTCAAAAGTATATGAAGACATAAAAATTTTCTTATTTCTGTAGGAATTGTTGGTTGATATTTAATATTTTTTTGTTGGGCATATAAATTGGTATTGAATGTAATTGTATTTATTAATGAATCATTAATAAATTTTATATATATATCAGATGGATACAATGGGTCCGTTTTTAGGGATGATATTAGACCTGATATTTTATCAAATTCTAATGCTGGTTGTGAAAAATATATTTTGGACCAGATAGGATTATTATGGTTTGTACTAGATTGATCATACATAACTTGTTCCGACTTGTCATTGTCATCAATTTCGATTTGATAATGTGTATCTGATTCATAATCATCTTCGGAATCAGTGGATGAGTATAACGAAGAACCTTCAGATGAAATATCCAGATAATCATCCATATAACAAGCTAAAATTATTGCTAAACGAAATATCGTTGTAAAGTGGCAATGGTTAGTTTAATATACCACATTAAAAAGATCAAAATAATATATAAATATTATTTATTTGAGGAAAAATAAATATTAGAAAGATAGATAATATAGTGAGGAATATATATATTTAAAAAATATTTGATGAATATATTTACTTAAAATTTAGAATTTTAAGAAAAATGCCCGTTGAAAATGTATTTTGAAATAAATGCGCGAAAAAAAATTAAAAAATAACTCCTCCACAAACATATGAAAAAGAATATCTTTTAATATATATTCGTGGTGGTTTCATATTATATGATGAACTCCTTTAGAAGATTTAAAGGTTGAAAGGTGGTTTTATATTTGCACTACCGCCACCGAAAGGGTGCCCATGAAAATTAATTAACTGCCAAAAATTTTAAATATCTACCAAATTTTTTGTTTTTCGACTGCTCATTTTATTGATAAAATAACTTAGTAAATAAATGTATTTAAATATATATTTAAAAAGAAAGAGATAGAAAATTAATATTTTAAGATATAAATGAATATAAACAATAATATTTGAAAAATATACTGGCATCTGTATTTTTTGGCTATGAGAGGGATTTGTCTTGCTGTGTATGCACTTGTATAAGAATCATTATATTTTAATCATACTATATATGGTATAATAATTTATTGATGTTTAATTTAAATTAATATGATTGCAATATTTTATAGATGCCTCGGAAAACATCCAACATTTGGAAACATTTTATTATAGATACAGCTAGTAACAAGAAGGGGTATATAGCAATATGTAAATATTGTCAATTAAAATATAATTTCCCAAATTCAACGAAGATGTCTCAGCATATCAAAAAATGTCAAAGGTATATTAACAGACAATTTAATGAAGTTGATAATAATGCTACTGAAGAGGATATTGTAGTATGTTTATCAGATACCAGTATTCCTAATAAATTAATATACCAAAAAAACACAAATCAAATCATTCTAAATCCTTTTAAAGAAAATACCAATAATTTTAATAATGTATCAGCAGGCATATCAATTAAAAAAAAATTTGACACTGTCAACTCGACAGTGCTTTGGCATTAGCTATTTATATGTCAAATTGCACTTTTTATTTAGTTGAAAATAAATATTTTATCAATTTTTTTGAAATTAATGCGCCCAGCCTATAAAATTCCTTCTAGATATGCAATTAGTAAAACATTATACAATTTTGAATATTATAAAGTGACAAATATTATAAGCAGCAAATTCGATACTTTAAAAGATTTTACTCTTATTAGTGATGGCTGGACAAACATTCGCGGAGAATCCATCATTAATTTCATAATTATGACTGCGGAACCCATTTTTTTTAAATCCATTCCCACAGGATCTTGTGCTCACATCGGTGATTATATCGCATCTGAGCTGATCAAGATTATTGAAGAAATTGGTAGCAAAAAATTTATCCCACTAGTAACTGATAATGCAAAG